TTTATTACAGTGTGCCCAACAATCAAACTAATAATGTTGTTTACAATTAGGTTTTTAATAACATATGATTTTTTTCATACCCGAACATTTTATGATTATTTTTTGCCCAAACATTAATGACCTACTATAGATGAAAATAATATAATATGATCTAAATAAAAAATAAATCATTAATTGCATAATTTTCATATAACTCGATTTTTGGTTTGTGTTTGTTTTAAGGTCAAGAAGAGTCAATGTCAATATTTATTATACGCTGACATGTTAAGTAATAGATCAAGAAGAGTCAAGGTCAACATTTATTGTACGTTGACATGTTCTTAAAGAAATCAATTTTTAGTCACGGATAATTTATGTTGTTTGTTTCGCGTGTAAGTAATAAAAAAGTGTTGAAAATATTAGTTTGTGGAGACGAAGAGTTGCAAGTTATTGAACCAATAATGTTGTGTACAAGAAAGTTTAGATAATATATTTTTTTGCAAGAGGAACATTTTATGGTTTGACAATTTTTCTACGAATTATCACTCTTTTATTTATTAATACATTTTAATTTTAAATATTTGCCAAAGTAAATACAGTCCGTGCATCGCACGGGTCACATACTAGTTAAAATAATAAATACTTCAAACTTAATTAATTCACAAATAAATAGATAGAAAACTTTCTTTGCATTTATTTTGACTAGTACGTAACCTCGTGCGATGCACCGACTGTATTTGTTTTGGTAAAATTTATAATTAAATTATTAATCAATAAGTTATAATACATAGAGTATTTGTTAGATAATCGTAAAATGTTCGTCAAGAAAAGTTCATACATTATTAAAATATCGTCATTTTTCCATGCAAAATTACTTTGCACTTGACAACCGTAGATCGATATTTACCAAGATTGCTCTCTATTTGGTAATTGCGAATTGCATAAACACCTTTTTACTTTATTTGTTTATTTGTTTTTTTTTTTTGTTGATTTTCGTTATGTTAGCACCACAAATTAAAATTATAGTGTAAATATGTAATATTGTGATAAATACTAAAGATATAATTTATCTGGTGAAGTTTAATTTTATATAAAATATAAGAAAAGTTGTTACCTTAAAGTGTGGATTTTGAGTATATCTTTTTTTTTTGAATCATTCTCGTTTTTTTATTCCAAATTCATTCCAATATTGAGAACAACTTTGTTTTTGTTATGTTTTAACAGAGATTTGGATTTTTGATTGTATCTTTTGTAAAACAATATTTACAAAAATAATTACGTTTTAAAAAATAACAACACTGATATTTTATCATTTGTAGCTCAATAAACTAACTAAATGAATCGGATGACATTAAATCACTATTTTTAAATGAAAAAATTTTTGATAACTAAATTGACAAAAAAAATAAAGATACTGGACGAATATATTGCAGTTAAGTTGTAGCTAAAAAACTAACTATATTTTTTACTTGTAGTTAAGTTGCATATATTGTATAACTATATATGAAAAAAATAAAATTTTAAAGTTTAAATATGCGATTTATTTATATGTATATGATAAAATGTACAGTTCAGGAATAGAACTTCTGGGCGAACTTCCCATTTGTTCCCTAATAATTAAATTTTTTATTTATCATTTATATTATTAATATTGGTACCATGATTATTGTAAAGTTCTACTCTCATTTTTTCGACAAATTTATGTTATATTAAAATGAATTGAAAAGTCAAGAAAAAAAAAAGATATAGATTGAACTAAAAATATTAAGTCGTGGTTAAATTATTTGATTCCATAATTATACTGATTTTAAAATGATACTTCATAATATTTGCTTCCATAATAACACTGCTAAATAGAATTGATTCTAAACAACCGGATTTAGTGTTTAATCAAATATTATGGACTATTTCTTTAAAACAATAAATTCGGTTGTCGGGGGAAGATAAAACTGATTCTAATTAATGCTTCGAGGTTTGTTTTAAGGAATTGTGTAAAATTTCTATAATTAGGATGTAATTAATCCATAATGGCAAGAAATGCTTATTATATTTGATTTACATTGTTATTATATATATAGATATAGATAATGTAAAATAATATTGATATGAAAATATTATTTAAGGTAATTTATCAGGAAAAGAGTAAAATAACCATTTGTAGTTATAAGAATACAAATGATTAAATAGTAATTTTTTTAATAAATTTGTAGAATGTTTGATTCTAATTAATCATTGTATTAAAAATTCTAAAACATAAAATAAATAAATAATACCTTTGAGGTGTAAGATAAACATTTTAAAAAAAAAAAATTTGTAAATAAATAATTTTTAAATAGTAATTTTTTTTTTTTATTTGTGGAAAGATAAATACCTTTGAGGGTTAGTGGTCAAACGGGAAGCAGTGGAGATGCACGGCCATGTCCATGCCGGAATTATATTATTTCATAGATTTTGCCTACATATTAGCAAATTGAGATTGTATCAGTTTATTCTTAAAATTCTGGATGTATCATTTTATTCCATAAATCAATATCTAACCAAATTTTGAAAAGTGAATAAAAATCGGATTGTATCAATTTATTTCTAAAATTGTGGATGCTCATTAATTTTTTATCCAAAATTGTCCTAAAATTCTAAATTTAAAAGTGAATTATGTTAATTCTTATTATATATTAATCTATTAATATATAATAAGGATTAACATAATTCACTTTTAGTATTTTATTCCCGCCAAATTCATTAATTATAACCTAAAAATAGTAACTTAACAAACTTCCATTAATCATTGTCTAATTATATTAAATATGTTTTTCCGATTTTTGTTTCCTTTTATGATACGGAATGAAAATCCAAAACAATATCCTCTTTTTGTAGGTCCATATCAATATGGAAATTAGAATCTCTTGCCTTACGATATTGAATTAGAAAATATATTATTCATTTAATATTTTGATATCTTTATGTAAAGGAAACAAAGTTATTATTTAAATCAGTTGATTATCACACAGTATTCTACGCATATTTAATACTTGGGTTTGTGTTTGTTTTAGTAAATTCTTGGTTTTCTTTAATTACGTTGATAGTGGTTTTGTAGGAAAAGATTATGTAAATAATTATATGTACCCGATTTTGGAACTATTATTTATCAAGGATTCTTTTTTGTTTTAACAAATTTATTGGAATCATTGATTTGGATTAGCATATATGTTACATAGACACACAAAAAAAATATAGTAATATTTAAATTTACATGTCGTCAATTTTGGAATTCTCATTTGTGAGGATTCTTTTTTATTTTATCATATTTATTAGAACCAACAATTACAAAATATAAATTGATGTTCATATCTAAATATATTTATATTAATATTTAAATATATTTTTCATTGTAGCAGACTTTGAGAATGAACGATTTTATATGAGATATACAAATCTGTTCTTTTTTGAGATATACACCAATTCCCTTTATTGGTATTCTTTTTGTCAATTGTTTTTAAAAAGAAAATTTTCAAAATTTTGTATAGTAAATCGATTTTTTGTTTTTGTATACACAAAATATAAATTTATTGCAAAATCTCAATATATATATATATATTTATTACCTAAAAAATTGTCACACATATAATAGGAAATCTGTCCAATTAAAAATTGTTCAGTTTGAAAATATATAACAAGTTGTCATACACTCAACTAAAAATTATCCGGCTTGAAAAAATTAGCCTGAAGTAATGTCTAATCACTAATGTTTTATATTTTATATCTACTATATATAATCTCTCTCATAAAATTAGTGTGATACAGTATGTAATGAGTTGTATTATTCACACATATTTTTGTAGATATACACCAATTCATTTGTCCAACTGTTGTATAAATTATCATATTATAAATAGATCCATCTTTGACTTCCATTTAAGTTCCAGAAGCACCAGTTCCTTCTGATTTTGGGGTTCTGTTTAACAGTCATGGTCAGTCTTTTTGTATAAAAAATATAGAAATATTAGTGAATATTATATAGCTAATCAAGTATAATCGATATTAAACTAACAGCTAATTGTCTGACTGCCTAAGTAAATTGTCATATTATAAAAAGATCTATCTTAGGATTTCATTTAAATGCTAGAGCACCAGTTACTTCAAATCTTAGGATTTCACTTAAGATCAGGGTCAGTCTTTATGTGCGTCGGCATATTATTAAAGAAATCGGTTCTTAGCAACAACTGATTATATGTTGTTGTTTTTACGTGTAATAATAGATAAGAAATGCGCATTGGCACGTTCTTAAAAAAATCCTTTTTTATCACGGCCAATTGTATGTTGTTACACGTGTAAGTAATAGGTCAAGAAGAGTCAAGGTCAACATTTATTATACGTTGGCATGTTAAGTAATAGATCAAGAAGAGTCGATGTCAACATTTATTATACGTTTGCATGTTTTTAAAGAAATCAATTTTTAGTCACGGACAATTATGTTGTTTGTTTCGCGTGTAAGTAATATAAAAGTGTTGAAAATATTAGTTTGTGGGGACGACGAGTTGCTCAGTTATTGAACAAATAATGTTGTGTACAAAAAAGTTTAAATAATATATTTTTTTGCATGAGGAACATTTTTTGATAATTTTCCTACGAATTATTACACTTTTATTTATTAATAGATTTTAATTTTTAATATTCTCTAAATTAAATACAGCCCGTGTATCGCACGGGTTACATACTAGTAGATTCCTAACAAGAAAATCTTTTATAAAATACTGAGCTTTGTGGTATGATGCAAGTCAATATTCTTGGGTTAAATTGGGACAAGTACAACATACAAGAAAATTTTCCCCATTTCCCTTTCTATCTATGAAATTGGGAGCAGATTATGTTTGGGATTAATCTGCACCATTCATTTTGGTAGCAGGCAGCCTTCCTTCGGTTTCCTCTTCCACGGGTCGAGCAGCAAACCACTCTCTTCACTTCTCTCCGTGAGCAAAAGGTTTAATGGTTGACCCTTGATCACTCAGTCTCCCAAACCAATCATGGTTGTTTCACTAAATTCAGCCAATATCTTCAGTCCCACTGTATGCCTTTCTTTCTCGAGCTCTTCTTATCCTCTCTACTTTGTTTTTGTTTGTGCATGTAATTGTGCATTTTTGTAATTCTGCTATCGCTACTTTCTCGATTTTAGTTCACTGGACTGCGGTTAAAACTTGGGTGATGATTGAATTGATTGATCGGAAGTTATGTTCGTGACCTAACATTTGGTTGAACATGTGTTTGCTTTGCCAAGGTTGTCCCTTTTTTTGCTTTACTTTTTTTTTTTTTTTTTTTTTTTTTTTTTTTTCATCCTCTTTGTTGAGAAGCGAAACATAATTTGGCTCAATGTTCATTATTGTTTGAGGTATGTGGCATATGTCTATTTTCAATTGACAAACCCATTTGAACTATATGTGCAATCATCTTGTATCCCTGGGTATGGAGTGTTTCAAATTATAGACAAAAGCGACTTGTAGACATAAATATTTTAAGACTACAACTAAGACCCTTTTTTGCAGGTTATCAAACAGACCCTTAACCAGTGAACACACGAGACACATGTATCTAATTTTTTGGTCGGTTAATGTTAGCACTATGACTGTTTTTGTTTTTGCTAGTATACATTCATGTCTAGACTCGGTTCATGTTTCATACCATGTTTTTCTGAATGAAAACACTCATTTGACATTCAGAAACATGACCTTAATTAAAAAGCACTCAACGGGCATTCTCAGCTCCTCGATTGTGCATAGTTGCGATGCTTGTATGAACATTGCATACTATAATATGACGACTCTGGTTTGACTGAATCATTAATCACTACTATCTTCTAAAAATTTGAGGTGGAATGCAAATAGTAATTTGGTGGGGAACATGAGAAATCATTGCAATGTTGATTGCAGTTAAAGGATGGTTCCATCTACACTCGTTTTGTATCTTATTGAATATGATTGACTGTAGTTCATCATCTTCATAGCTTTTCAAGACTTTCATTTCCACTGTTGTGCTTCTGTTACAGAAATAGGTAGTGTTGAACTCTGAGGGTCTAAGTTCTCTAGATGAGTCGTGGACATTAGACATGCTGACTAACTTTGTTCATACAATTTAATGTGGGAAGTGTGCATTCTCTCTCTCTCTCTCTCTCTCTCTCTCTCTCTCTCTCTCTCTCTCTCTCTCTCTCTCTCTCTGTCTCAAGAAGGTCAATTTGATTGCCATGGAACTTGTATGTTTTCATACACATCTCTTAGTTGATTTATTTCCATATATATTTCCTTTTCGGTCTATTGTCCCAGGTAAACTATCAGCCGACAACTAGACCTTACATTAGGGTACTATTACTCAAGGTCCATTCCGTCTCATCTCTCTCACCTCCAGTTAAATTGAATGTTAAAATATCAAGAATCCACCACCGTTTAGCTGTTGGAGGTGATAATATCCCAACAGAAACAACCGAGAAAGACTCTAAACCAGTCCAAGGATTAAATTCTAATGATGAGCCCTCATCAAATGTTGCACCCAACATAAAAGAGAACAGAATCATGCAATACAATGAGGCTTCACAGTCATCCAATGGGCCCGTATATCCTGATCCGAGCCTGTCCGCACCCAACCCGAGCCTGACCTCAAAACGGGCCCCACTAACAGCGAGAGAGAGGCTGAGGGCTGCAAGAGTGCTAAACCGTTATAACGACTCGAAGCCGACGAAGACAGGACTCAGAAGCAATTTCTTAGAGGCTTTGAGAAACAGCGATAATGAGGGAAATAGAAAGCGGTCGGGCCTTCCGGAAGCACCTTCAAATTTGTTTGACGACAGCAAGAGAGGTCTACCTAAGGAGGGGTGGACGATCAATCTCCCAGGAGGTATGGATGTTTTATTTCTTGTCTTTTCTTTTGTGTTTATTAGTACAATAATGTTTGCAACCACGTATGTCGTCTGGAAAGTTGGGGCCATACATTTTAATGAGTATTAGGTCTCTGGGTGAGCATTGATTTGTGATCTTTTGGATTATTAGAATGTAAAGGAATCATAAGTTATGGTTACATTTGTTTAGCTCATACACTGTTATGCTAGTCCATTCTCAATGTTGAGGTATTTATTACTGGTGCTAGTTGCGTGGATATAATACTATATTGGGCTTTCTGAGAAGGCACGTTTTCTCTGGATTGATTTACAAATTTGTATACGATACGAATAAATTGTCAAGAGACAAGAATTATGGCCTCGTTTGTCTATTAGCGGATTGATGCTGAAACAAATCAGCTAATACAATGTACAATTAGGCATTAGCTAATTCCAAAAGCCATATGTAGACGGTAGTAAAAATGTTAAAAAATAGATTTTACAACCGTCACACTATACCATGAATACCAATGTTCTGAAAACCGGACCGGTCATCGAACCGGTGAAGCTACTGGTTCAATGTTTCACTGGTCGGACCAGTGATCGAACCGGTCGAACCGGTTTAACTAATATATAATTTATTTAATTATTTTATAGCCATAATATATTATTATATATATCTTTATTATTTTTTTATAGCTACATTTTTCTAAACAAGAACTGATGAATCAATTTTTAAGTATAATTTACAATAAGCAATACTAATTTAAGTTCACTAAAATAATATATTAATAATAATTCAATATCTACAAAGCAATCCAAATTACAAATACAAACTACAAAGTCATCAAACATCAAAATACACAACATTATAACCACGAGAGCTGCTCGAGACAACAACAACAGAAAGGAGTGGGCGAGCGAACAACGAACAGGGGTCGTGCACTAATCGGACGAGCAAACAACGATCGGGCCGAGAGTGCATTCGAGGTGCAAAGAAATGTCGGCTGAGAGGAACACGGGCATCTACCCACCACACGGCTGATTGGAGCTCACCGGTCACGACCGGAGGTGCGACCAACTTGTCATCGGAGTGAGTTCACGACGAGAGAAGATTTGTCGGACCGTTGGAGCCGCGAAGTGATCACAAACGGAATAAATATGGTTGGAGACGGCGAGGTGTTCACGGAAGGAGATGCGACCGCCTGGAGAATTTCGATATGGAAGGGACTGACCGGATTTGTGTGACGGTAATGGAGGCGGAGATGTAGGGTTTTGGATTGGGACTTTCTTGATTTCAAAATTTGGGAGAGTGTACGCGGAGATGACGATGTCATGTGACTTTTCCCTTTTCTATTTCTTTTTTTAGTTTAATTTAGTAATTTTGTCTTTTTTTTTTTTAATTCAATAAGCTTATGTTTTATTTAAGAATCGCCCAACCGGTCAAACCAGTACTGGTTCGCCGGTTTTTGACCGGTTCGAACGGTTCAATAACGGTTCTTAAAAACAACGGTCCAAACATGCAAACCAGACCGGTACTAGGTCCGGTTTTCGGTCCAACCGGTCGAACCGGCCGGTCCGGTCCGGTTTTCAGAACATTGCTGAATACTTCACCATGAACAATGGTCGATCTAAGTAAATAATCCAGATGACGCGAAATTAATTAAATTATTTCATTACTTTATGGACACTTGAAATTTTTAGAGGAAATAGCTAGTTTCACCCCGTTCTGAAGTCATATTAAGTTTTTCACACCACCCAATAAAAAGCTAAGTTTTTCACCCAAAAAAGAACGAAGACATATGCGATGAACCATGCGCTAAATAAGCGACAGGTATGAGAATGGGCGAGAAAATTATGAGTTAAAGTATGCGACTGTTCTACGATGAATATTCGGAGATTCGATGTACGATTCGGTCAATCGCGGTCCGTCGCCCATTAAATAATTATTTTTGTTAGGCGAATGAATCTGCGACTATTAGTCGAAAAAATCTTTCTGCGACACAACTGCGACATACCAACGTCGCATAGTATTCGCAGAGTTGGTGCATAATAACTTTAATAAGTTTTTTGGGATCTTCTACAGTCAGGTTTCTATTGTACCTATTTAACATTAGGTATCCCCTTATTTCACCGTTGGATTGACTAAAAAATGAACATCAACGATGGATTCAAGGGTACAAGACAAAAAAGAATTTTGGTAGTCTTGTACCTTGTCTTGTACCTCTTGTACTGGTTAAAACCTATTATACCCTTCGTACCTATTTTATTTATTCTCAAGTCCTCACATGTTTATCTAATTTATATAACAATCCTACAAATTCAAAACAATTTTATCACAACCTAAAAATGTGTTACTTTTCCAATCGTACAAATTAATTTTTCGAATTAAATTGTTCTTTCTTCTTCAAATTGTTCTACACATATCTTCTTCAACTCTTTGGTTCTGTCGTCGACCTCTCTCTCCTCTCATCTTGTTTCAGGAACCACCGTCGTCATCGGTGCCGGCGCCGCTGGCCTCTCTGCCGCCATGGAACTTCGCAAAGAAGGCCGCACTGTCTTCGTCTACGAGCGGGCAACCAAGGTTGGGGGGACATGAGCCTACACACCAGAAACAGAGGCCGACCCAATGGGACTCGATCCGACCCGAAAAGTCGTCCACTCTAGTCTCAAGCATCGCGTCGCCGCCATCTTCTCCAAGGTTAGACCATACAACTTTTATTTTTGAAAAATTAAAAAAGATGAAGATAAAATAGGAGTACAGTAAAACCCTAGCTAATGAAATTGGTGTATCTATTTTCTCACTCAATTCTGTTTCTACACCCGCGCTCTGTTTCACTCATGAGCCGACTCTCGCTCTGAATTTATGCCCCTGATTTTTTGAGTTGTTGAGCCTTTGAGTGTGTGGTCGTCACATAGTTTTGAATCCTGGCAAGTTTCAAGTGTTTGATGTAATTCTTGTTAATTTCTTTTTCTTGTTTGTTTCAGCTTGTACATGGAAGAGTAGAAGCTGCTAGGTAACCCCGAACCCGCTGGAAATAGGCAAGACGAGTTGCTCATGTTCAGGTAAATTGGAAAGAACTAAATTTTTTTGGAAATTTTATGTAATATATGATTGCTTGCAAATGCTGGAATTTTTTTTGGAAATTTTATGGCTCTTAAAACATCTTGTTACCTGCATTTAGTAGATATGGAAAACTAATTTTTTTGGGCGCAACTATGTCACTTTGTTCTCTATTTGATCAGCCTGACCTGCCAGAAGGTAATAATATTCATTCCCTATTAAGAACACGAGGAAAATCATAAAAATCCAACACAATGAGTTCTGAAAATTGTGGATCATATATATCCAGTTTCTCAATTTGCAGGTACTTTGTGTTTTGCATCAGGAAAGCCTGCGAAAAAATTGGACTGATTGGGAAAGGTGTTACTGATGGTTTTTCTTGGGATAATAATCTCTAATCTGGCTTCAAATGGTGATATAATGTGAACTTTGGTTTAGCAATTTTGAGAAATTAGTGATGTAGCATATTTTTTTTCTATTTCTTTGGACTTTTTTCAGCAGAAGGAACAACATGTCAAGAGCCTATTGTTGTTGTTATACTCGATGCCTTTTCTAGTGTTTGTATGATAATGAGATTTTGACGGATGCTAGTGTTATTAATGCTATTTGGCATCAACATTATTCGTTATTGTTTTTGTTGTAGTTTGTTGGATTTTCCATCCGAGTATCAATGTATCATAACTTCAACGTTGGCTAGTCAATGAAATTGAGCTTTATTGGGTTTTACTATGTTCTAAAAAAGGCGCCCGCAAAGTCCAACGTAAAAGGAGCTTAGGTAGATATTGGACGGGATATAGGAAGACCATGTTTAACTGTGTCCCTTTTCATCCTAACTAAGATTTTCAACATGATCCTAATACAATCCTTCGGACATGAATATGACAGATCCAAACATATAAACTCGTGGTTATTTATGAACATGTTTTGTTACCATATGAGTGTATTTATTAACGCGATGAATATGTTGATTTTGTACAAGATATATATGTTGATTTTGTACGTAATCATTATCTTTCTTTGTAAGATGAACATGTTTCTTTCTGAGATGAACATGTTTATTATCAGGATGAATAAGTTTGTTTTGTACGTAATATATTTTTTAACATGATGAATATGTTTCATTGTAAAATAAATATGTCAAATTATAAGATGAAGATGTTATGTTATAAGAAGAATATGTTTTATTATCAGTTGAATATGTTCAATTATAACCCTTAAAACATTTGAACTTTGTCATGCAATAATTAACTAAAAAATATCATGATATTCTAATTATTATCACTTTATTTGAGTCACTGGTTTTCAAGATGGCCGCTAAATAAATAGTGAAAATTAAAATTTTAATGTATTAAATATTTTATTTATTGATAATATCTTAAGATTCTTAAATGATTTAATGTTTTCTTAATAAATTATGAGTTTATTTGTGCATAACTATCCTATCAAATACGATAATTGTTTAAGTAATATTTATTTAATTTGTAAAATGAATATGTTTCTTTGTAAAATGAACATGTTATGTACATAAGATGAATATGTTTTATTGCCAGCTGAATATGTTAAATTATAAGATGGACATGTTTCTTTCTCAGATGAACATGTTTATTAACACAATGAATAAGTTGATTTTGTACGTAATATGTTTTTTAACGTGATGAATATGTTTAATTGTAAAATAAATATTTCAAATTATAAGATGAAGATGTTATGTTATAAGAAGAATATGTTTTATTATCAGTTGAATATGTTCAATTATAAGACTTAAAACATGTGAACTTTGTCATGCAATAATTAAATAAAAAATATCATGATATTTTAATTATTATCACTTTATTTGAGTCACTGATTTTCAAGATGGACGATAAATAAATAGTGAGAAATAAAATCTTAATGTATTAAATATTATATTTATTGATAATATATTAAGATTCTTAACTGATTTATGGTTTTCTTAATAAATTGAGAGTTATTTGCGCATAACATGTCAAATTATAAGATAAAAATATTATGTTATAAGATGAATATGTTTTATTATCAGTTGAATATGTTAAATTATAAGACTTAAAATATTTGAACTTTGTCATTCAATAATTAACTAAAAAATATCATGATATTTTATTTATTATCACTTTATTTGGGTCACTGATTTTCAATATGACCGCTAAATAAATAGTGAGAACTAAAATAGATATTATCAATAAATATTTTATTTATTGATAATATCTTAAAATTATTAGATGATTTAAGGTTTTCTTAATAAAATGAGAGTTTATTTGCGCATAACTCTCCTATCAAATAAGATAACTGTTTCAGTAATACTTATTTAATTTGTAAAATGAATATGTTTCTTTGTAAGATTAACATGTTATGTTATAAGATGAATATGTTCTATTATCAGCTGAATGTGTTAAATTATAAGATGAACATGTTTATTAACACGATGAATAAGTTGATTTTGTACGTAATATGTTTTTTAACATGATGAATATATTTCATTGTAAAATAAAAATGTCAAATTATAAGATAAAAATATTATGTTATAAGATGAATATGTTTTATTATCAGTTGAATATGTTAAATTATAAGACTTAAAATACTTGAACTTTGTCATTCAATAATTAACTAAAAAATATCATGATATTTTATTTATTATCACTTTATTTGAGTCACTGATTTTCAATATGACCGCTAAATAAATAGTGAGAATTAAAATTATAATGTATTAAATATTTTATTTATTGATAATATATTAAGATTCTTAACTGATTTATGGTTTTCTTAATAAATTGAGTATTTATTTGCGCATAACTATCATATCAAATAAGATAACTGTTTCAGTAA